AACGTGTTTTAATGCATTCCTATGGGCTTCTTTGTTCCGCATAGCGACGAATCCGTATAGCGACGATTTTTCCGGAACGGATTAACGTCGCTATGCGGGGCACCACTGTATATATTTGTATTTATATGTATGTATATGTATGTATGTATGTATGTATGTATGTATGTATGTATGTATGTATGTATGTATGTATGTACATACGTATGTATGTATGTATGTACAGTATGTGTATATATATGTGTATGTGTCTGTACGTACATACATACACACATACACACACACATACATACATACATACATACATACAGTACATACAGTACATACAGTACATACATATATGACTAAATGTTGAGACCCAAATCTGAACATTATATAGTGGGAAAACAAGATGAAACAAAAATATTTTAAAGAAGGAGTAAAGTGAAAGCTAGGTTCAGGATACTTACTATAAGCAGAGTTGCTTCAGCAGGCCAGTCCTTTCTTGCCCCCACTTTCCTTTTTTGTGGTGGGGTTAAGTTTTAAATTGCAACATTCCATATCTAAACTATTCATATGTATGAAACAAACCCTCACACAATAGGACATCATAGCTTTGGCTACTGTTTTTTGTAGCTGATAATGAAACAACAGCACGGCAAATGAAAATGCTTTATTTATTTATTTATTTATCTCTCTCTCTCTCTCTCTGTCTCTCATCACTCACCCTGATGGAAAGAAGTCTCCAGCCATTATTCTCGATGCGTTTGTACCAGTCACTACGATCTTCAGAACTCTCTTCCTGTCGCTTTCCTAGTAGCCCTCTTTTGACTGCAAGCTTTGTATAATCTTTAGGACTAAATGCACACATGTCCACAATAGGTCTGTGGGTAAATACTTTGTAATATATGCTTGGAGGAAACTTTAGCTGTAGAGAAATATTCAATTTTAAAATGAAAGAAAAAAGGAATTTGACTGATGATTATTTAGAAATGTGTAAGAAGCTTAAAACATTCTCTAGACATCTCTGCTGATTGGGATAAACTATACATGGTGTTTGGGGCAGAGCAATTCCTCCCCAAAACACACTGAAAATAGCTCTCCTTTGCCTAAAATACATATTTATGGTCCCGGAGGGAAGTTATTGTTCTCATTCTAAATTATTTGCCAACAAGTTAATTCCAATGTATGCCAACTTCTACCAGTGTTTCTGGAGGTGCAAAGTACAGTACTCAGAAATCGTTTACCATCAGACCCTTCTAGGGATTAAAAACAAACCAAGACTTTGTGTAGTGACAAGGATCTTAGTTTAGAGCTCCATCTTATGGCTATTAAGGGGTACAACAGTGGTGCTTAGCCTAAGCAAACATTGTTCTGTGATTCTCCCTCTGCGCATGTGTGGAATTTCTGGAATGTGTAGAATACGACGTTTCATTGGCTATCTCTTATCTTTTATGTAAATGATGATTCTTAATAAAAAGACATGCCTCTGGGGAGGAGGAGGAACACATTGTTAACAGGATTCGTTGTTAACAGGCAGACATCCTCCTCACCGGTGATATGCTTCATAACTAAAGACTGCCTGTTTTATTCTATCAGAGATCTCTCCCTGGTATTTAATTCAACTGTTGGCTGAGACTGGTCCTCAGTTAATGGTTCCCTGGGAATTATTAATTATTCCCTACAACTTTGGGATTAGGCAGCTTGTCTAAGGCTACACAGGCTGGCTCTTCTCTTGGGAGGCATGGTAAGGAATAAAAGGAGCTCCAAACCCAAAATATCTGGAGTGCCATAGCTGCCCAATCTGCTGGAGAGGGAAGTTTCTTTTCAGAGGGTGGTATTAAAATATTCACCCTTGCAAGCTGAACCAGAACAAGTAGGAGTTTATTATGTGTTAATTTTGCAGATTTAAATGTGGGCAAAATTAGACAGAATCAGTCCTACCAGTCCATGCTAGAATGAGTCTAGCACGGACTTGAGTTTACACAGTTCCACTGCTGATTTTCTCACACATAAAGTTGTGTATGCAGAATCACATGGCAGCTACTGTACAGATTAACACAGAGTTATAGCCAAATAGTAACCTGTTGTTTGTAAACAACAAGAACTAGATGGATATGCACAGCTGTTATGTGTGAAATGCTCCTGAAACAGAGTTATTGAGATGGCTACTGAACTGAGGAGGAACCTCAATTACTCTTATAGACTTGCTTCAACTCCCACTTTATTAATGGACTTGCTAGGTAATATTAGGCAAGTGACTATCTTTTAACCTATAGGAATGACAATACTGTAATTTCACCATTTTGCTTTTATTAGACTGAAAATGTGTATATTTTCCAAAATGTATATGTTACATTGCACTCTCTAAATGACTATAGGTTCTAAACTATAGCATCCAAGTTTCAGAGTCTTGACTTTATGAATTTCAAAGCCAACTGTACATAACAGAACTCAAAATAAAAAATATATATGTAAAATACGGATTTTTAAAAAATTGAACTTCCATATTTAATACCACTGCGATTTGTACTTACCCCACCGAGTCTGAATCTGATATGAACCCCTGCTGCAGCATCTAAAAATTCTGCCTATAATCAAGGGGAGAGTATAATTCTGTCATCACAGTTACATTCTAGGAAAACGGAAATAGCAGATCCCTTTTTGGGTGTAGATTATTGCTTCCCTTTCTATCTTTTTCATATCTTGATTAGTGCTTTGAAATTTACTGTTCTAGTCTTTTAAAAAGTGACTAGTTCTACTCTGGTATAAATTATTTCGTTCCACATAGCTATATACCATATCTAGCAAGAGAGGGCAGAAGAAAGGATGTTGGACAGATAAGCAGGTACTTTTTAAATACACATATGCAAAACATGTATTAAACAATCCACTGGTGTTAACACAAGAGTTTCATATAACAGACTTAGTTACATTAGATCTATCTTTGAGAAATGATAGTGTAACAAGTTAAAATCTTTCTTATGTATGCCATCAAATATCCTTGTCAGTCTAATTCTTACCTCTCTAGGGTCAATGTACTTCATGAGTCGGGAAGGTTCTCCACACTGCTTAAAGCCTATTAATTCTTTATAGTAGTCAAACACACCAAGATCCTGGCCAAAAGGTAAACAAATCTCAATTACCGAAATTCTTTTCCTTGCCATATTTGGGAAGCAGCAAGTCACAATGCTCGAGTTCCTACCTAGATAACGACTAATTCAGTTTAAAGAAGTTTATAAGACAAAAAGGGGGGAACAATTGATAGGATCAGAAGGAAGTTCAAATTTTAAAAAAAGTATTGTGTGTAGTAGCAAATCCTGTGAATAATTATTTTTAAAGCTCATCAATGGGCCAGCACATCTCTATGAGGCTCCTCCAATTCCTGTTGATACAGATATTTTCCACCAATCCAGATTGAAGGTGTTCACTAGGCAATTCATAACAAACGCTGTCCATGTGGGCAAGCAAGCAAGAACAGCTACATAAGTGGGGGATGAAGCTTATAATCCTTCTCCCTCTATTCTGATGATCATGTCTATTCCAGTTGTCGATTCTAGTTTTAAAAGTATGCATATCTTATCTTCTTCCAAAGAGTTCAAGTTGGTTTTCTCTTCCCGTCCCTCCGATTTTATTCTGAAAAAGAACGCTAACACAATAGGATTAGCCCAAAGACATCAAATGGGATTCTGCTCATTGTATATGGATTCATTTCCCAAAACAGGATTTCTAAGAGTGGAAGCACTTTCTAAAGAAAAAAAATGTGAATTATTTTTACTCCTTATGTGCCTATGGTTAGTGAAATTCCATGGGGCCAGATGTTCCAACAGGGAAGAATCAGCTTGTCTGCTGTGAAATGCCTGTTCTTTCAATACGCTTCAGTTCTTCATATTGCTAAGAATTCAAATATGTCCTTGAGGATGCATTGTCCGTTCACACATCTGGGACTGCAGATAATGGGATTTCTACATTGAGAGCATTCCTGGAACAAGTCCAGCATATCCTCATGCTGATGTACTGCATAAAATATGCTTCAGGGACATTTCAGTATCACTGGCACTAGCAGTATTTGCCACCCTTGGAACACTGTTGGAGAGGCAACTCCGCCTTTCTACTTACTTCCCTCACCTATATTTTTAATTCCCCTTTAATGATCAAATGGCACTAGTTTAAGTCCTCCTCAATGCTTGCCGGGGGGTAATACTAGTGTGCCAGGACGATGTGCAGAATACAGTAGCAGTGTCTTGAGTACGAAGGTTGCCCACCACCATTGGCTGAGGTCCTCTGCTTCCCTGCACACCCCAATTTTATTTAAATTAGTGTTTGTTATTTAATGGCATGTGGGGAGAGAGGTTCCATGCAGAGATTGGAGAATGGGGTGGAACAGCACTGAGGGGCCAGAGATGGGTAATTGTGCCTAAAGGGCCCCTAATACCTACAGTATTTTCCACTACTACCAGGTGAGGAACTTCCTAAAATCACCCAGAAAACTGTGAAGTTTCCAGCAGAAGCAAGTTTGAATTTAAACCACTGGTAAAACACCTTTTAGTTCTTACATTCCAGATATCTAATATCTAAATTAAAGCAAAGTGCATGTATTGTATATTTTTACACCAACCATCTATTGACGGTCTAGCAAAGAACATAGTAGCTATCAAATTTTCTTTTTGTAGAACATCCAGAACTTGAGATACATTGTTTTAACATGCTGAACGGGTTGCAGAAGTTCTTTGTGTTAAGCTTTGTGTAATTTGCAGCTAATTGCTCAGGTACTGAGGAGTGTTTCAGTTGTATGTCTGATCACGTGCTTGATTGCACAACTCGGATGTGCCCTTACATCTTGTCAATCGGCTATAACTAAGTGCAACACATTACACAAACCTTGGAGGAACACCAAGAAGATTCGGAATAAGCAATTAATGGTCTGGAAAGAGAACTGAAATCCTTGGTGTTTTCTGAAACAGCATCTCACTTACCAGCCACCTTTTCCACGATCTTTGGATGACAGTTGCTGCATGATTTCGTCTTTTGTGTTTCTCATTAGAATATAATTCCATGAGTGCATCCACATCGTGCAAACGTTTTTTGTATTTCCTTTAAATAAGATATTTTAGAAATATCATTAACAGCTATTTTTAAATAACTGGTTTCACAACATTTTTCAATTTTTGCTTATTTTACAAATTATACAAGATGAAGTTTGGTTATCTTCCCTACTACTATAACTGTTACCAGAGGAGTAATTGATGCATTCATTACTGTTTTCCACTTCTTATCCTTGTGAAGTAAGATCAAACAAATAAGTACTTTGATTTTAACTTAGTTTTACTCTGATTTTTACTTTGTTTATGTAGAAAATTGAATTATGAAACATAAATTGCCAATTACAAGAAGGGGATTTATGTCAGCACAGCTTACAAAGAGGAACACTGGGAAGGCACTTGTTCAGCTATATTTAATGATCACAAATTATCTTTACTCAGATATTAACGCCTGTGGCTTTGCTGAACATAATGTTTGATACCCTTTCTTTCTCTAAAAAAGTGGTACATAAAACAATTTAATCATGTTAAAATCAAGTAGAACAAATACAATTAAAGCATAAAAGATCTTGTGATCTACGGCAGAATACTAACACTCAAATAAATAAAACACAAGAAAAAACTTGCATCAATAAAAGAGAAACACAGAATCCACTTAAAAGGACCTTTTTCTTTAAAATCCCTGCACTTGTAAGTCAATCAAAATATGTAACATAACAAAGAGTTATCTTCCACTATTAATATAATATCAGTACTAACTCTGAAGTGACACAGTGAAAGATAAAGTGTTTTATGCATCAATACAAAGTTCCAACTAATTCAGGGGGATTATTATGCACTACGCATATTCACATGAGGTTAAGATTTATTTGTGCACAGCGGAGCCTGCCTCTGAGTAAACATGTACAGAATGAAGCTAGCAGTCTTATATCTTTAAACTGTATGGGAATCTTCCCATTATATTCTTACCCATGTTTACGCAACAATTTCTTGTTTGTGGGTTCCATTGTGGAAATACACTGGATTCACCTGTACAGAGGGATCCAATAATCTGGATTATTGTGATTGTTCAAGCCCCAAATAACAGTTAGTTGTTAATTTCTCTTATTTGGCAGGTTTACAGAAACAAGTTACAGGAAGAGGAAGGCAGGTAATAGAAATAATGGTTGCTTTCCATACTGTACTAATTTACATGAAGTATATATAATTTGCCAAACAACGGCATAAAAAGGATTTTTTTCCCCAAATAAAAACATTCACAGGAAGAGAAGATGCCCAGATCATGGTGTGTACAGATACCCACTTGGTGTTTTTAACAGGTCTCAGCAAATCCTCTATGTCTATGCCACTTCTTAAGACTGTCTGGTTTATAAAGCATAGCCCTAAAATGCAAAGCGAACAAAACTATCTCTGACCACACGGTTTGGGGTGGGGGTGGGGAACTACGTTATTTGTCTTGTGTTGTAGATAAGGGCAAGCTGGGAAACCATCATGCCTGCTAGTTTGTTTCCTAAATGCTTAATCATTTTAGGATATGGTCCGGAAATTCATTCCGTGTTAAATCATGCTGGAATCGATGACTATAAGGTTGGAATTGGCTTTTCGAGGAGGTCCGGAAACATCGTTAACAGCAAAGGGTCGGGGGCTTGCAGGGGAGGGGAGGGGAGGGGGGCTCTTCGTCAGCCGCTCCGAGGACGCGGCTTCGGGTTTTCCCTGCTCGGGTTTGTGTCTAGACTTGTCGGGAAAAGAAGCCGCCGATTCGGAGATCTCAGGGCGAAAGCGGCTGAAGGGGAAACGCGCGTCTACCGGGACCCTTTCTACCACCAGGAGTGTTTGAAAGGGAGGCGAATGCCGAGGGCGAAAGAGCTGGGTCGCCCCTGAGGCCCGCGCCTCCCGTCCACCTCAAAAGGCGGCGACAAAAATAAATAAATCCTTTTAACAATACTACGCGTACATACCGTACCTGAATGAAAAGTGAAAGAGGTGTGTCTTGTCCGTGACTGTTCTTTAGCCTTCACCCTCCCAGTAAATACGTGTGAACGGGTGCGAGTGACACTTTCCCCAGTTTCCGTGCGCCCCGTCCCCCCTGCGGTCTTGACTTCACTTCTTCCACCTTCTCCCACCTCAGCTCAAGCCTATGCCTGGAGGGCCTGGGATACTCCCAACAGAACACCCAGCCCACACCCCACGGCTCCGCTTGAGTTGTACCTTTGGGGACAGAGGAAGGAGACACGCTTTGTAGGCGGCTCCGTGTGGCCCGGTTGCCCCGGCAACACTGGAGGCTTCGGCCTAGCTTTCAGGGCAGGCCGGGGAGGCGGAGGAAGGGCGAGACGGGCGCCCACGAAACACAGTACACATTACAGTACAGTATAAGCATTTCGCACCTTTAAGACAAGACGGGTTTATTTCAGTGTGAGCTTTCCTGGACACAACATGAATATTCCACACATACCTAAGACTCAGGCAGTGTCTCAGGAACTGGGAATGTAACCCAGCAATGGTGACACTGAAACGGTGCTTTCAGTTGGGGGTTTGCTGTAGGTGCAAAAAACTGACGAACATGGCTGATAATTGATAATTCAATTCTTTAAAAAAAACACCACAACAACTCAGGATTATAAATGTAAGATATTGTGCTTCAGTACCCACTATTCAGAATGCCAGAAAATGGCCCAATGTTGCTGTTCTAGTAGGCATCCTTCAGTCTTGAGAAACTATGGTAACCTGGTTTCGGGACTGCCTCTTTGCCTCGGCCTGCTGGACAAGGGTCTCTTCAGAATGGGAGAGGCCATGATGCACCACCTGCCTCCAGGCTGAACACTCAGATGGCAAGGTTTCCCATCTGTTGAGGTCCATTCCTAAGGCCTTCAGATCCCGCTTGCAGTTCTCCTTGTATCGCAGCTGTGGTCTCCCTCTGGGGCCATTTCCCTGCACTAATTCTCCATACAGGAGATCTTTTGGAATCTGACCAGCACTGCCCACACTGCCAGCAGGAAAAATTATGCCAAGCTCTTTACAAAGCAGAGGACAACCTGAATGTTGACAACACCAAGGGCAGGCAGCTGTCTACAGCAGCAGTCCCCCAACCTTTTTGGGGCTGTGGACTGGCTGGGTGGAGCGAGTTCCATGCACAGGGGACACCCCCGTGCTCAACACTGCACCCCCCCTCAGGCGCAACACCCGCCCATGAGCGTGACACACCATCCTGCGTGCATGCAGGGGGGTGGAGATCCGTGACCGTGGCCCAGTTCCGGCAAGCCCACAGACCAGCACCAGGCCGCAGACTGGGTTAACAACCTCTGGTCTACAGGATACCCTCTTCTGCTCACTCACTACCATTCATGCTTGCTGAAAAACAGTCCTGACAATTGCTTTGTGTTTGGGTAAGAAGTGGTTAACGGATGGAAAAACAGGATGAGTTTCTGGGATTTTCCCTTGCGTAGTGTCAAGAAGGTGATTCCTATTAGGGTTGCTGTAAGCCGCTTCCAGCTTGATGGCACCTAACAACAAATTCTACTACATTTCCTCATATATAAGATTATAATGTGAGACACAGGTGCTGTACATGTTATATCTCCAAATAATAAACGCAACATGCCATGGCTTTAAGGGATTGTGTAAAACAAGATTCCACAAAATGGGGGATGGCCAATAAAGCAAAACAAGGTGGGGAGGAAAAGCCTAAAAATAGCTCTGAAGCAATTCTGATTATATCATAACTGTCCTTGTAAAATAATAAAATGGTGAAAACTTTTAAGTTGATGGGAATCTTCTTTGGCATAGGGATTCAGATTAAGTTTCTCTCATGGTACAGAACTTTACAAATTACTTTCTTATTGTCATTACTCACTTTGCCTTGGGGAAACCAACATTTAGAAAGTACTAAATTCTAGATGTGAGTCTAGTAGTCAGTGGAAAACAAATGGCAATACTTTTTGGTCCTATTTTCATTTGTTTGAAAGCATAAATATTCTCTTTCTCTCATTTCTTCTTCTTCTTGGAAAGGAACTGAGACCCATGCCCCACAGCAAAATGTGTAAGAAACAGTGCCTCAGTTTGCAGAACATCTAGTCACAAATGATAATTTACTGCATAGGTCTTTTCATTACTGCACAAAGGGAATTTCTGCCTATGCTTCATATTTAATCAGAGAAAATTTTATATCCTGAACAACTGTCTGTGCATTTCTCAGTCAACAGGTATGCCAACTGGTGGGATTCTCAGATTCATAGTCTGCCATACTGCCCTCTGCTAACCATTAGTCTCGTCATATCAACTGCCAGAATTGTCTAACAGAAAAGGCACGGTTTGGTCTGTTCCTAGTCCTTTAGCAGAGATTATCTATCAAAAACAGGTAGTGCTTTCTAAACACACACACCAATGAACTGCAAAAAATGAAACTGCTATGGAGGCCAGTTTAGAAAGTGGCAGTATAACTCTTTTCTTAGCCTTCTTCCTGTAGAAAAAAGACAAAGACACCATCCATCTCTGCCAGTTTTCCTCCATGCCTGGACTTCCTAAACTAATTGCTCTTCATGGGGAATAAAACATTCCCCTATTTTGATTACTATTTTCATGTTTTTCCCTTTCATGTGCCCCTCTTCCTCAGACCCATTTCTCTTTTCTTGGGCTCACTGTTCAAACTAATTTCTCAAGGAGTGGCAATGTCAGGCTTACAGCAAAACTAATTAAAAATACTTTTGACAAGTATAACAAATTTTATTTGACATAAAATTTATGCTGACACTTTTATACGTCACAAGACCGTTTTGTTCTCTTTAAAAGCCAACTTTTACATGACATAGACCCGCATGTGCAGATATAATTCTCTTAGCAACCTAAGCCTTTAGGATTGAAAGGGGATGGGACAGAACATTGTTGGTATATGTCATTAAGTTGCCTCTGACTTATGGCAACCATGTGAATTAGTGTCATATTGTTACTGTACTCAGTTTTTGCAAACTCAAGGCTGTCTGTGGCTTCTTTTATTGAATCAGTCTATCTCATTTAATATTCTTCTTTTCCTGATGCCTTCAACCTTCTCCAGTATTGTCTTTTCTACTTAGTTTTGTCTTCTCATGATGTGCTCAAAGTATGTTAATGTACATTTAGCCATTCTTGCTTCTACCTAGAGTTTAGGCTTGTTTCAATTTAGCACCCTTATTTATCTTTCTTGCAGCCCATTATAGTTATTATGCTCTCCTGCAACACCATGTTGAAATTTAATCAACTCTGTTCCCCCCCAAGCTTTCTTCAATAGCTGGTTCTGACATCCATATACAGTAATTGTGAATACCGTGCTATAGTGGCACCTACCAAGACCTGAAGATCTTTTCTAATTTTTTCATACCTGCCTTTCTAAATCTCAGTTTTCTTCTTGATTGCAGTCTGGGATATAATGTTAAATCATAAATAATGTAGCTCCAGTCTCCCAGGATGTGCCAACATTCTTCCCAGCCTAGCAATCACCTAAAGCTGCCAGCAGGGGAGAGTCAAATGACATTTATATATTCCTATTAAAGGATATTACACATTTATTGAATATAATAAAAGCTCATAATACTCTGTGCTAAATATAAATGACAATAACCAGTAAATCCTGCTCTTCCCGATGCTTTGTGAATTAATTATACATATTTTGCAGTTTAATCTGTTTCTGCTGGTCACAAGAAGCAATAAACAAACAAAAATAAATAAATAAAAAATTCTCATTTCTACTAGCCAGCTTCCAAATCCTGCCAAGGTCTGCTATAGCACCTGATCTCTCAGTAGGTATTTCCTCCATATTTTCAAATTTTTCTAGCCACCAGAGCTAGGAAAACATTCCTTAAAACTAAAAAAAAATTATCAGAATACTAAAATTCTGTGCTTAAATCCTTTATTTACATAAGTGGCAAAATATTTTAAATAAACATAATTCAGTGTACCCTCCTTCTCATCCCACTGCATGCTTTTTACATTTTGGAGAATTAAAAAAAAGAGATTATATCTTAAGATCTGGTTGCAAAAAGAGAGGAAATGTTATGTACTTTCAATCCATATCCAATTTATAGTAATCCTATGAACTAGTGACCTCCAAAAGAACCTATAATTAGCAGCCCTGTTTAGGTCTTCTTTTATTTTATCAGCCCATCTCAAATTTGGCCCCCCTCTTTTCCTGCTGCCTTCAACTCTTCCCAGTACTGTTGGCTTTTCCATTTAGTCGTGGTTTCTCATGATGTTTCCAAGGATGACCAAACAGATTGCTTCAATTTAGTCATGTTTACTTCTATAGATAGTCTAGAAGCATCATACCTATCTAGGACCAATCGCTTTTTTGACATTTACTTTTAAGAAAAGCTATTCAGGATCAGATTGTGAATATACCAAAGTTTGCAATAGCTAGTTCTGCTATTTAGCTAGATCTTGTGTTTTCTCCTAAGTAATTCCCACTAAGATCACTGGGGCTTACACCCAATGACATAGGTGTGCCAGATGTGCTGTGCAGTCTAAGGTTGCCATATCATACATTTATCTAGGAATATATCCCACTGGGTAAATTCAAGATAATTTTTGTAAATGTATTTAAGAACACATTGTATGCCTTTTAACATGCCCATCTTTAATATTCTCAGTTACTAATTTGGTTTACAGCTGATGAACAACTTTGTAGGTAGCCTGATTTGGAGAAAAACCATGCTTTTAAACTGTGGATTAATGTAATTATTTATATGAAAAAGGAAATGCTAGTTTTCTCTAGCAGAAGTTAAATCACAGGGAACAAGAGCCAGAAGTATTCTTCTTGAATTCTGAGGACTAGCCATGAAGGTGTGAGCCATATGACCTCTTTGAAGCATCATGTGATCTTAAGCATAGCCCAGGGCAGTGAAAGATCCCTGTAGCCCAGCAGAGTCTTGGTACAGCCAGAGGTTGCATGTTCCCCCAAATAAAATGAAAATCATCAAACTCTTCTGAGTACTTTGGGGGGAAGAATCAGATAAAAAGCCTGAGCGGGGAAAAATTCAGACAGAATAGTACAGACATTTAGAATTCAGTTCTGCATGCCAGTGCTGTCCATGTGAGCTGAACCACACAAAAGAAGTAAAGACTGAGGTTCAAAGCTGGCACACCTGCAGCCAATTGAAGACAAACTATGAATCCAGAAGCCCTTTAGAATGTGTTCTCACTTTCTGGGAGTATATAATTCCAGTTAATCCAAATGTGCTGTTGCTGAATCACTAGAAAACCTGCTACCATAAGAACTAGTGAAAGTGTTTACTCTAATTTCAGTCTGTTCCATAGGAATATGAATCCTAGGAATATGTACACAGCCTCATAATAAAGATATGAATGGGTAGCACTTCCTCTCTTGTCTTCCTTGTTC